TATCTTCTGTCTCCATCATACATGACCCTATACATTTATTAAAGCGTTACTAAACCCAGGACCCTGCATTCACTATATCTTCTCCCATAATACACACAACATGGAAGTGCAATTATTTTAGTAAATAGAAACTGCTAAATACCTTTTCTCATCAGAAGTTAGAGAAGTCTTGTGACTTGTATCTGTGTCCTGTTGAGCACTGGTTAAAGCTTGTAGGAGGAGTTTTCATTCTCTTCTGACTGTCCTATGAGGCTGCATGACACCTGAGCCTCTGGACAGTGCTGATTGGCCCTGTGCTACATGCACCCCCTAAAAAATTTCTCTAGCAATGCACACCAAACTGAGCATGTGCAGCTTGCCCCCAAGGCTCTGTTCTATCAGTAAATGGATTGGGGACAGTAGAAGAAGGGGCGGATCAGAGAAGTCAGGATCAAACAGCCTTTTTACACAATGCAGAGGATTAACGACTTAGGTTCCAAAGTGAGTATAACAAGCATGCTTTACTGCATATACAGACTGATTTTACTGTTGTGGGTTCAGTAAAACTTTAATCGCCTCCCGCCCGCCATGTAGTCCAATGACAGATGCAAGGAAGCTCTCTCGTTCTGGGAGTGCTGCCTATCAGTGCCCGTCAGTGCTGTCCATCAGTGCCACCTAACAGTGCCAGTCAATGCCACCTATCAGTGCCACCTATCAGTGCCACCTATCAGTGCCATATATGAGTGCTGCCTTTCAGTGCCCATCAGTGATGCCTGTCAATGCCCATCAGTGACACCTACCAGTGCCACCTATCAGTGTCCATCAGTGCAGCCTATCAGTGCCCATCATTGCAGCCTCATTAGCGCACATCAGTGAAGAAGAAGAATCACTTATTTACAAAGGTTTATAACAAAAACTAAGAAAAAACTTTTTTTTTTCAAAATTTTTAGTGGTTTTTGGTTTGTTTAAGAAAATAATAAAAATCCCAGAGGTGATTAAATACCACCAAAATAAAGTTCTATCTGTCTCAAAAAAATGATACAAATTTCATATGGGTACACAGTGTTGCATGACCATGCAATTGTCATTCAAAATGCGACAGCGCTGAAAGCTGGAAATTGGCCTGGGCAGGAAGGGGGTATAGGTGCCCTGTAGGCTAGTGGTTAAAGTGACAGCAAACCATATCCTTCAAATTTAATCAATAAATCTCCACTACTTAATGGCCCTGGAATCCATTTTTTTAATGAAAGAAGAGCTCCAGCCCCCCCCCCCCCCCAAAAAAAATAAAAGTCAGTCGCTATATATACTGTAGCTGCTGACTTTTAATATGAGGACACTTACTGGTTCAGGGGTCCAGCTCTGTCCTCACCCGAGCTAGTTCTTCACTAGACTCCGGGTTCCCAATGTTGGCACAGTAAGGGAAACTGGAAGTGAAGCCTTGCGCCTTCACAGCCGGTGTCCTACTGCGCATGCACAAGTCGCTCTGCACCTTGTGAATGGTCCCGTTGTCTTCTGGCACCTGTGATGTGTCCCAGAAGCCTGTGAGGGAGGGAGGAGGGGCTGAACTTCTGGCTCACTTCACCGTGGCAAACTGAGCCAGAAGTGGGAGCAAGTACCTGTCAAAACCATGTACTCGCTCCCCCCAAAAAAGTGCCAAATGTGGCAGTGGAGAGTGCAAACAAGCAGAGCTTCCCCTTTTGGGTGGAACTCTGCTTTAAATTGTCTGTTACTATGTTTTCTTTGTAACCTCTTCTGTGAGCTCCTGAACCTCTCCTTTTCCTCTCACCTCCATTTGTTTGGAACAAGCAGAGCACTTTGGTTGTGGTGCTCCATGTGCACTACAAATCCTATAGTCTATAGTCCATCTCAGGAGTATGCAAAAGAGGGTGAATACAAGTCTACATACCATGGGAATATGAACATAGTCACCCTCTAACAGGAAGTTGAACCACAGCATGGGAAAAAAAAGGTAATTTGGAGATTTGGAGGAAGCTGAGAGCAATAGAAGGGACTTTTTTTTAGGTTAAATTGATTTTAAAAAAAATAAAAAAGAGAGTTTGTAAAATAACAAACATGTTATACTTACCTGCTCTGTGCAATTGAATTGCACAGAGTGGCCCTGTACCTCCTCTTCTTGGGTCCGCTGCTTGTACTACTGACTCCTCCTCTTTTCCGTGTGCCACCATTGGAAGCCACTTTCTATTGTGGCACACCTACGAGCTTGATCCCAAACCGTGTATATGAACACGTATAGCTCGGGTCAGCCCCACCCCTATCACAGGATGTGACTGACAGCAATGGGAGCCAATAGCTCCCTCTGCTCATAGCCAAGCCTGTGAGAGCAGAGAGAGAGTACACAGATGGGCACATCATTGGATTGAGTGAGGGCTCAGGTAGGGATAAAGGGGGGGAGGGGGCATACTGCTACCTAAACATTCTTTTCCTTAAAGTGATTCTAAAGGTTGCAATTTAAAAAAAAATAACAAACATGTCATACTTACCTGCTCTGTGCAATGGTTTTGTACAGAGCAGCCCCAGTCCATTTCCTTTTGGGTCCCCTGGTGGCAGTCCTGGCTCCTCCCACCTGCTAAGGGCCCACAATAGCAAGCCACTTGCTATGGGGCACTCAAGCAGGCTCGCTCCCAAGCCACGCTACTGTGAATGGACATTGTCTATTCACACACAGAACACAGCACAGCCCCGTCCCCTGAACTCTTGTTTCTGAGCATGTGTGGCTTTGTTCTTCTGATTTTTTTTCAGACAACTACTGTACTAATTAAACTAAAATCCTTCTCTCTGGTATCATACGAGAAAAATTTCGCATTTATCCCTTCGGATGTTGTCACATGTACGATCGTGATGAGCCCTCGAAAGCTGCGTACTAACGATCAAATTATCGGACGATCGCTCCTCGTATGTAAATTTTTTGTACTATTTTCTTATCATGTGTATGCGCCATAAGGACAGCAGGAGCCATAGGCTGTCAGTCAACCCCCTGTGAGGAAGGAGCGAGGGGGGGGGGCATGACTTGCTAAGGCTCTGTGTGTCTATGGACATACACAGCCCAGTTCAGGAATGCACCATCAGGTGCCTTCAAAGCACCCAGCTTTCTAAGGAGGCACCCGGAGGAGGGAGGGGCAAAAATGGACCACCAAAGAGAAGGTTTGGGGCTGCTCTGTGCAATATTGTTACACAGAGCAGGTAAATATAACATCTTTTCTATTTTAACCCAAAAACATTTTCTCCTTTAGTGTCACTTTAATACTATATGATTGAATAGATTTTGTTTCTTTTTAATCCAGAATTTAATGTAATTTTAAAAACAGAAAGCAGAAAAATACAACATGAATTAAAGTGACTCTAAAGTTTGGTTTAAAAAAATCTATTGAAGTAATTATTCAGTATTATTCAGGATAATGTGGAGAGGGATTAGGGCACCTGCCAGGTTTTTATTGCTGTCTGTGTCAGCATTAGGGAGATTCCCACTCTCTATTTCTTCTGTTTACAGTTTCATCCAGACTGAAAGCGAAAGGAAATCCCAGATTTTGGGCTATCGCCAGGAAAGTACTAGAGGTAAAATCTTCCAACAAGGACATTAGTCCTGGAGACCCTGGTGACAAGGGATTCCCTCACTGGAGGGATTTCCTCTCACTTCCTGTTTGGCTATGGGACAGGGAGCAAAGGTAAATCTCCCCCAGTGGGACACAGAGGCAAAGCAAGCTGGCAGGGGTTATAACCCTCCAGAATGAAAAAAAATGTTTACTATTTTCTACTTTAAAGCAGAGTTCCACCTAAAAGGGGAAGTTTAATGCTTTGTCCCCTGCTCCCCATCAAGGATTGGCACCTTTGGGGAGTGGGGGGGAGAGCGGGTACCCGAATTTGACAGGAAACCTCTCCCAATTCCACTGTGATCGCCTAGGCGATCAGAAGTAGAAGTTGTCCTCCCCGTAGTCTTCTGGGACATGTGACAGGTCCCAGAAGACTACGGGGCCATTCACATAGAGCAGCACTTCTCGCGCATGCGCAGTGGGCACCCGGCTGTGAAGCCGCAAGCTGTAACACCCGGGTGCCCACACTAAAGATGCCAGCGCCAGGGAGAGAAGATGGCCGATGAAACCAGTGGTGGTGAGAACACCACTGGACCAAGGGACAGGTAAGTGTCTGCATTTTAAAAGTCAGCAGCTACAGTTTTTGTAGCTGCTGACCTTTCTTTTTCAGCTGGAACTCCTCTTTAACCACTTCATCTCCAGAAGATTTTCCCTCCTTCATGACCAGGCCATTTTTTGCTACACTAATTTAACTAGTAATTGGGCGGTCATGCAACGTTGTACCCAAACTAAATTTCAATCATTTTTTTTACACAAATAGAGATTTCCTCTGGTGGGATTTGATTACTGCTGGGGTTATTATTTTTCGCAACATAAACGGAAAAAAGACCAAAAATGTTGAAAAAAAAAACAATATTTTCTACTATCTGCTGTAAAACATATCCAACAAAAACTCATATTTCTTCATAGCTTTTTGCCAAAAAGTATTCTGCTACATGTCTTTGATAAACAAAATTCCAAAAGTGTATATTGATTGGTTTGAGTTAAAGTTACAGCGTCTATGAACTATGGGATATATACTGGACTTTTTATTTTTTACTTTTTTATACTACTAATGGTGGTGATCAACAATTTATAACGAGGCTGCAGGAGTGTGATGGGCAGTCTGACAGTAATTGCCACTGACTAACTGCCACTGACATCACACAGTGACATTAATACAGTGATCAGGGATAATACTATACACTGTCACTGTACTAATGACACTGGCTGGGAAGGGGTTAACATCTAGGGCCATCAAGGGGTTAAATGTGTGCCTAACAATCTGTAATGTGTATACAGTGTGCTGCCTTTACTAAACAACTTATTAGTTCTCATCCTTGCTTTGCAGGGATGGTAAAATGACAGATCGCTCCCATGTACAGAGCTCTGTGCTGAATGTCAACACAGAGCTCTGGGCTGGGATCTTACCAGGGGCGGACTGACCATTTGGAAACTTGTGCACTTCCCGAGGGCCTGGGGTCAGTAGGGGGCCCCATGAGATGCCCCTGGTACCTTTTTCATAGGCATTTTTGAGTTTGGGCAAGGTCACAGGGGCCCCATGATCCCCTATTGCCCGGAGGCCCCATGAGTTGTCAGTCTGCCCCTGGATCTTACACAGCTGATCAGCAGGTCCAGGCCATAAATCATTGGCTGGGACTTGCTGACAGATACCCGATGTTTACAATCACAGCAGGTGCTGTCAGGGGGCAGTGCACGGCCAAAACCCGGAAATAGGCAACAAAGTACCTGTACGTCACTTTACCTGCAGCAGCCACCTGTCCATGGTACATTGCAGTCAGGCGGGAGGCCGTGAAGAGATTAAAGTGGTTCTAAAGGCTAGACATGTTTTACCTGACAGCAGCAATAAATCCCAAACCAAAAATGTAATATATTACAGCTTACTAATCATTGGATGTGGTGGCTGCATTAGTTTTCTTTCTTTTAGACTTTTTCCCTCTGTTTTCACCTTGTGATCTGGCCAGTAACACACCTCCTGTATTAGAGAGCCTCCACTCTATGAAGGAGCATGAAGGTGATGGCTTAGTAAGATATTGCCTCCTTCCATAATAAACAGTATGATTTGCTGACAAACGCATCAGACCTCCTCCCACCACAATGCACTGCAACTAAAATCGACAGCTGCTAGCATGCTGAAAAGGTGCATTTAATGTGCAGAACAAGTCCTTAAACATACCATTGAAAACATTTTATTATATCTGTTTGACAAGAACAAAAATAGCTGCTCATTTCAACCAGAAATTTTGTTTGCATATTTCCCCTGCTATCTCTAAACTACAAAACACCTCCCCCCATTATTAAGAAGAAGCAGATGTGTTTTAATGTAAGTATGAAAAATGAAAACTAATACAGACATCATATCTAACAACTGTCAAGCTGCAATCCTATCAGTTTTTGTTTTGGAGTTTAGTAACGCTTTAACAGCAAAATGCCCAGGGTAGATCATCTAACAACAACAGAAACCATGTTAAAGAATCATTCCAGGCATCTGCATTTTATACGTAGTTACATTGGTTCAGCTTGGAAGCATTTTCTGATTGGACGAGGTAAAAAGGCCAGGCAGTGATGTCATGCTCTCTTCCAATCAGAGAACGTTTTGCACTCATGCAGAAAATACAAAGCATTCTCTGATTGGCGCCCATGCTGAGAGGCCAACTTCCTGTGTTCAGAATGCAGCAGGGCAGCCCCTCAGCACAGGTCTTGGTAGCAAGTGAAGATCACTGGAGTAGTAGTGTCTTGGTGACTTCCAGCTTCCAGGGACATCAGCCAGGTATGGTATATACATAGTTACGTTGGTCAAGCTGGAAATGGAATTGAAATGCCGGGTGAGAAGTCCCCAACCCTTTTTCAACCCCTTAACACTGCTCCTGGCCTTTTAAGAGGTTTGTAATGCCAGAAGGCAGAGTTTCTGCTCATGTGACCTCTGTGATTGCCGATCACATGATCAGAAAGCTCCCAACTGCAAGTAGAGATTGAGAGATTTCCATTAGCCGCTGGTAAATGTGTCGGGAGCACACAGGATACGCACTCTCAGCACAGCTCTGTTTACATTCTGGTATGCATATACATAACTCCCTAACTGTCCCTGATTCCGACGGACTGTCCCTGATTTGGAACAAAGTCCCTCTGTTCCTCCTTCCTCCTCACCTGTCCTTCATTTTGGTCTGATGTATATAATTGTATATAAAATGCACTATTTATCTATCAAAAAGTGTTTCCCAATGCTAAACCTTTCATCCAATTTCGAAATTGCTGTATTTGTAAATGTCCAAAGCCAATATAAAGGAATATCTGTGGTAAAAAAAAATAGGTATCCCTCGTTCCCATCTCAGAATGTTGGGAGGTATGCATACAGTATCTCCCAGAAGTGAGTACACACATCACATTTTTGTAAATATTTTATGCTATCTTTTCATGTGACAACACTGAAGAAATGACACTTTGCTACAATGTAAAGTAGTGAGTGTACAGCTTGTATAACAGTGTAAATTTGCTGTCCCCCTCAAAATAACTCAACACACAGCCATTAATGTCTAAACCTCTGGCAACAAAGGTGAGTACACCCCTAAGTGACAATATCCAAATTGGGCCGAAAGTGTCAATATTTTGTGTGGCCACCATTATTTTCTAGCACTGCCTTAACCCTCTTGGGCATGAAGTTCACCAGAGCTTCACAGGTTGCCACTGGAGTCCTCTTCCACTCCCTCATGATGACATCACGGAGCTGGTGGATGTTAGAGATCTTGCACTCTTCCACCTTCTGTTTGAGAATGTCCCACAGATGCTCAATAGGGTTTAGGTCTGGAGACATGCTTGACCAGTCCATCTTTACCCTCAGCTTCTTTAGCAAGGCAGTGGTTGTCTTGGAGGTGTGTTTGGGGTTGTTATCATGCTGAAATACTGCCCTGTGGTCTCTGAAGGGAGGAGGTCATGCTTTGCTTCAGTATGTCACAGTACATGTTGGCATTCATGGTTCCCTCAATGAATTGTAGCTTCCCAGTGCTGGCAGCACTCATGCAGCCCCAGACCATGACACTCCCACCACCATGCTTGACTGTAGGCAAGACACATTTGTCTGTGTACTCCTCACCTGGTTGCCGCCACAATCGCTTGACACCATCTGAACCAAATAAGTTTACCTTGGTCTCATCAGACCACAGGACATGGTTCCACTAATCCATGTCCTTAGTCTGCTTGTCTTCGAGCTTTCTTGTACATCATCTTTAGAAGAGGCTTCCTTCTGGGACGACAGCCAGGCAGACCAATTTGATGCAGTGTACAGTGTATGGTCTGAGCACTGACAGGCTGACCCCCCACCCCTTCAACCTTTGCAGCAATGCTGGCAGTACTCATACGTCTATTTCCCAAAGACAACCTCTGGATATGACGCTGAGCACATGCACTCAACTTCTTTGGTTGACCATGGTGAGGCCTGTTCTGAGTGGAACCTGTCCTGTCAAACCGCTGTAAGGTCTTGGCCACCGTGCTGCAGCTCAGTTTCAGGGTCTTGGCAATCTTCTTATAGCCTAGGCCATCTTTATGTAGAGCAACAATTCTTTTTTTCAGATCCTCAGAGAGTTCTTTGCCATGAGGTGCCATGCTGAACTTTCAGTGACCAGTATGAGAGAGTGAGAGCGATAACACCAAATTTAACACACCTGCTCCTGATTCACACCTGAGAACGTGTAATACTAATGAGTGATGACACCGGGGAGGGAAACTGACTAACAGGGCTCAATTTGGACATTTTCACTTAGGGGTGTACTCACTTTTGTTGCCAGCGGTTTAGACATTAATGGCTGTGTGTTGAGTTATTTTGAGGGGACAGCAAATTTACACTGTTATGCAAGCTGTACACTCACTACTTTACATTGTAGCGAAGTGTCAATTCTTCAGAGTTGCCACATGAAAAGATATAATAAAATATTTACAAAAATGTGAGGGGTGTACTCACTTCTGGGAGATACTGTATATGCAACCTCTCAGAGTTAAGGCCTACCCGACGAGAGTCTACATATATGCGTATAGCCTGTGGGAAGAGGGTAAAAACATGCTGCCGGTACAGCATGGTGCTGTAGCACAGTGCAGTCTAACATGTATGGAAACACAGGTGTTGTGCCAATGTATGGGGATGCCATTTAATTCTAAAAAGCAGCACATTTTGCCTGTAGGTGGGGACCTCGCATGATTATTGACGCATTCCCAATCCACACATATTGAAGTCAGCCGTAATGTACTACTGAAGGTAGAACTGGATGCTAATTCATATATTCAATGGGTCTTAAAGAAACATAGTCATGAACCTCAGTAAACACCTGCCAGAGTCCATATATGCCTATAAAGGACTCCAAAGGTAATATACCGATAATTTCCACTAGCTTTATGTGGATCACACCTGGCCAGATACTAGAAAGGTATGACCTCATGGTCCATTGACTGGAAAACCCCAGGCAATCAGATGTGTAAGCAGAGACCTAGGAAGAGAGAGTATAACCACATCTGGATGAAAAGTCAGCAGAGAATTGGGAGGATTACAGACTCCATGCAGACAATCACATTATGACATTGTTATGCACTCTACGCCATATGCAGATTCATAGCTGTATCAAAGTATAAGCTCAATGAACTCTTATACGGCGCGCAGCATCCAGACAAAGAGATTCTTTTACATCACACAAGTTGTCTTGAGACTTACATGGAATAAATCCTATTTTGTCTTTGCTCCTAAGATTCTATTACTGAGTTTTTTGGCTTCACTTTCTGAAACACTCACTGACCTACATGATCTTCATTTGGATTGTTCATTTTTGTTCCTTTTACTTGTCTACATTGGAAGGATCTGATACAAAGATTAGATTGTAAGCTCCTAGGAGCATGGCCCTCCTTACCCTCTTGTATTGCACTGTATCATTGCTGTATTACCTTCCTTTATATTGTAAAGCACTGAGCAAACTCTTGGCGGTATATAAATCCTGTATAATAATAATAATAATTTTAAAAAGTAATTCATTGCAAAGTGTTGGGAACTATGATGCATCTCCAAATCTGCATTTGGCATATAGTGTATACCAATGTAATGTGATTGTCTGCATGGAGTCTGCAATACTCCCAGTCTTTTGCTGAGTTACCATCAGGATGTGATTATTTTTCTCTTCTGAGGTATCTGCTTACACATCTGATGGTCAGAGCAATTCTGATTGGTCAGCGCTGGACAGAGAATTGATCTAATCTGTCCTGGAAGCGCTGCAGAAAGAAGAGTTAGGATTTCAAATCCCCAGACTGCTACACTGGCTGTGTGGGCAATGACAGCTCATCATACACAGAGGTATGTACAGCAGGAACCAGGGAAGGGGGGGGAAGGCAAGAGGGGGTATTAGTTCACCTTTTTATTTTTTCTAAAAAGGTGAACTAACCCTTTAAGGCCCCATGCACACAGGATGTTAGCTAACCTTGCCTAAATGCTGTTTTTTTTTTGCAGAAAGAAATGTTTACTCATGTAAACGCATTTAGATGCATCAAGCGTTTGGGCATTAAGTAACTTAATTGGGCAGAGTTCTGCCCATTGAAA